TGCTGGCAAAACTGGACAGCTACATGTAAGAGAATGAAACTGGATCACTGTCCAACCCCATACACAAAAGTAAACTCCAAATGGATCAAAGATCTGAATGTAAGTCATGAAACCATAAAACTCTTAGAAAAAACATAGGCAAAAATCTCTTGGACATAAACATGAGCGACTTCTTCATGAACATATCTCCCCGGGCAAGGGAAACAACAGCAAAAATGAACAAGTGGGACTGTATCAAGCTGAAAAGCTTCTGTACAGTAAAGGACACCATCAATAAAACAAAAAGGTACCCTACAGTATGGGAGAATATATTCATTAAGTGACAGATCCGATAAAGGGTTGACATCCAAAATATATAAAGAGCTCATGCACCTCAACAAACAAAAAGCAAATAATTCAATTAAAAAATGGGCAGAGGAGCTGAACAGTTCTCCAAAGATGAAATTCAGATGGCCAACAGACACATGAGAAGATGCTCCACATTGCTTGTCATCAGAGAAATGCAAATTAAAACCACAATGAGATAACACCTCACACCAGTAAGGATTGCTACCATCCAAAAGACAAATAACAACAAATGTTGGTGAGGTTGTGGAGAAAGGGGAACCCTCCTACACTGCTGGTGGGAATGCAAATTAGTTCAACCATTGTGGAAAGCAGTATGGAGGTTCCTCAAAAAGCTCAAAATAAGACATACCATTTGATCCAGGAATTCCACTTCTAGGAATTTACCCTAAGAATGCAGCAGCCCAGTTTGAAAAAGATAGATGCACCCCTATGTTTATCGCAGCACTATTTACAATAGCCAAGATATGGAAGCAATCTAAGTGTCCATCAATAGATGAATGGATAAAGAAGATGTGGTACATATACACAATGGAGTATTAGTCAGCCATAACAAGAAAACATATCCTACCATTTGCAACAACATGGATGGAGCTAGAGGGTATTATGCTCAGTGAAATAAGCCAGGTGGAGAAAGACAAGTACCAAATGATTTCACTCATCTGTGGAGTATAAGAACAAAGAAAAACTGAAGGAACAAAATCGCAGCAGTATCACAGAACCCAAGAATGGACTAATGGTTACCAAAGGAAAAGGGACTGGGCAGGAGGGGTGGGAAGGGAGAGATAAGTGGGCGGGGGGGAGAAAGGGTGCCTTACGATTAGCATGTATAATGTGGGGTGGGGCATAGGGAGGGATGTGCAACACAGAGAAGACAAGTAGTGATTCTACAACATCTTACTATGCTGATGGACAGTGACTGTAATGGGGTTTGTAGGTGGGACTTGGTGAAGGGGGGAGTCTAGTGACCATAGTGTTCCTCATGTAATTGTAGATTAATGATAATAAAATGAATTAAAAAAAATGTGGCAGTGGAGGAACATATTCTATCAGGTACCAAGATCTATAAAGCTATGAAAACTTAAGACATTGCTGGCACATGACATGTTCTAGAATATTCAGAGCATAATTTCAATAGCCCAAATCTGGGAAGACTAAAAGGGATAAATAAATTGTGTGATTTTTATACAATGAAATATCACATAGCAAGGCAAAGAAATGAATTACAGCTACATGGAAACACATGGATTAATTTCACAAAAATAATATTGAGCAAAAAGAAGTTGATACCCAAAAAGTGCTATATGATTTTTTCACACAAGATCAAAAAAAGACATCAAACCAATCTGTAGTGTTATAAGTCAGCTTGGTGGGTTACCTATGGGGAGGAATGAGGGCTTTGTGATGAAGAGTTCCAAAGAAGGAGGTCCTGGGGGGCTAGCCATGGTACACAGAGGCTCACTGGGCGACAAGTCACTGAGCTGTGCACTTCAGATTTGCATACTTTTCTGTATTCATGTCATAATTCAGTACATCAAAAAAAGAAAGAAAATGTATACTATACCACACATGCATTGTTTTGAGTTTTCCACTTAATACACTGAAATCGGCTTTCCACCTTAAGTAGTATTCCACATAATTTTTAATGGCTATACAGATTTCCATTGTACTGGAATGTCATATTTGAACTAAATAATTCCCTACTGTTGGGCAATTAGGTTGTTTTGAATTTTAATTTTAGATTGTCTTAATTTAATTTGAATTTTAGGTGTAAAAGAAAGATGCCAAGCAGGCAACATAACTTTATTATTATTTTCATGGGCTATGATTTTGCTCTATCTTTCACTGCAGGTTTTTTTTCCCTAACATAAGACTCCTGTTAGTCTTAAAATTAATTGTTTTTAAGAAGTAACTAGTGCTCATCTCTATATTTATATCATATTTATATTAAATATTTAAGCATTTATATTTAAATCAGAATTGTAAACTTAATAGAAAAAAAGACTTGTTAAAGTTCTTCTTTTTACTTTATTATCAAAATAACGCATGAAACAACAAATTATACACAGTATTTGATGGATATTTCAAAATCTACATAAAACATTCCTGCTTCAGTCCTTGGCTTTGAGGAAATTACAGTCTAAGATAAGCAAAGGAAACATGAAGAGTAAATAGCTCTGAAGTTCAAGAGACTTTATTTAGAAAAAGTAGTTTTCATCCTTGGTGACTCTGGTATGAGCCTTCATCATTAGCATAATGCTGTTCTGTTTAAGCAGCAGTTTCAACTGTGGTGCAGTCACCTGGCCAGCTTTTAGAATCTATCAATGCCTACGCCACATCCCAGATGATGGATGTCTTGAGAATGTGGGACTCTAGGTATTTTTTAAAAATGCCCCTCAGCTGATTCTAATCTGTAGTGAATAACTGCAGAGCAATGAAAATGTTACTTATATACAGATTTAAGTGCTTGCCCCGACTACAATATCCAATACACTAGGACATTCCACGAGATGCTCAAATACATACCTGTGCTTGTACATCACCTTTTTCAGCTAGGAACTGGTAATACTGAATCAAATCTTCTTCTAGCATTCCACTGTTCATTCCTGGATTTTCCACCTCGTCAGGCAGCCGTATTCTCTGTACCACTGAGCCTCCTGTCAGTGAGATATCACTAGCAACTGAAACGGGGGGGACAAATAGAGGAAGGTCAGAAGGATAGTCCCACAGATGGAAGTATTTAGCTGCTAAGTGTCAACAGGCACTATGTTAAAGGAAAATGTTCTATAGTAATCTGTAGATTACAAAATAGTAATTGATCCAAATCGGTCTTTTTCCCCAAAATATTTAAGAGGAACCCAAAGCAAAATTAAGAGAAAAAAAAGGACTTTTAGTGTAAAAGTGATTCCACTTGAGAGAACCATTCATGGTATTTTCAGCAGTACAATAAAAAGAGATGTATTAAAAGTTAATGCTGCTCTTTTTTTTGGTAAGATGAAAGGCAGAAAAATAGGTACCATGATTGGCAACAAGGCGATAATGGGTCAGTGCAGATTCACAACTCTGGAGGACTCCGATGCCTGCCCAGTATCGGTAACCCTGCAAAACAATTTCAATGAGAAGACAGCAGTTTCACATACTTTAGGGGTAGTCTCATCACAACAGATAAAGCTAACCACACTCAAATGTAATTTCACTGTCCTTTAATCCACATACACTACCACCTCATTTATTCTAGGTTCTGAGGTAATTTATTCAGCAATTCCAACAACTCAAACTACAGTTAAGAACTAGGAATTAAATAATGAAGATCCTACAGCATTCAAAATAGATGCCATGAACCTTATATACGAAATGTGTGCATCTTACCTACAAGAGAAAATTATGTACGCTCTTGCTTAAACATTTTAATCTCACTTTATACACAATTTTTATAAAACTAGCAAAGGAGGAACAAAAAATTAGTAAAATAAGGATGACAAGAAGCTACTGAAGCAGGAATAATAAGACCAGCAAAAAATGACTTCAGAAGGAGGCAGAAGATAACTAATTATAAATTCAGGAAACAGAAATTAGAGCTCTCTGGAGTTATTTAGCACAGACTGAAATAACTACAAATTTTAACAATCCTTAGGGCATTACTATATAATAACATGTATATTTAAAGTTCTTACTCTGTAGCATATTTAAGATTGGTAAATAATAAAAAAAAGATATCTGTCAAAAATATTTAACATAGTCTTGTCATACGTTTCCCATTTCTTGAAATTTGATGTAAAAAGAACTTTTCAATTACTGTTTAAGGAATAAATGTTACCTTAGATTAAAAAAACAAATACAAAAAAACCCTTCAAATTAGTGAGGAATGCTTCAGAAATTGGAGCAACACCCTTGTTTCTACCTGTTCAAACTCCTTCAGCCGTTTACCCTTTAACAGGACAAGGTGCAAGCTCTCTGGCATGATGTACAGCCCATTTACGTGATTCCTGTCTATCTCCACATGGATCAACTACATGGCACTGTCATCCAGCCAATTCAAGTGTTTGTATCTTCTTACAAACACCACATTTGCTCTTGTCACTGTCCCTTTGCCTATGTTGTTCCTGCTGCCTGGACACTCCCTTGTTGCTTCCATTCTCTCCTTACTATTCATCCCTCAAGAACTACCTTCGTTGTTTCTTTCCTGAGGATACCTCCTTAAAATCCCCCCTTCCAAGGTCAGAGTGGGTTAAGCACCTTTCAGGTAATTCTTTGACGTTCTTATAGTGTATTGTTAATAGTCTCTTTACTTATGCCTCCCTTTTTGGATTAAAAGCTTGTTGAGGGCCAGCACTATATCTTACTTATTTTTGGAATCCAATTGATAAGTACTCATTAAATATTTTTTGAATTCATAGGTAAAATTATCTGGGATCCACGAGGAAGGCCAGAAAGCTAGATTTGTTAAGTCTCTTATTCCATCAATGACCAAATCTGTAGACCCTGTCCAGATTGTGGACTGGTTTCTCTGCCTGTAGTTGAATTTCTGTTCTATCTATCCTCTATATTACTGCAATCAACTTATATATTCATCTGGAACACAGTAAATGGATCACAGGTCAGGTAACTTACCCAAAGTCAGTTTATAAAATAGAAGGCAGATTAAACACCTCAGCAGAAAATAATTTGGTGGAAAGACTTTATATTTAACCACTCAGAAAATGTGAGATATTTTCCAGTGAAATTTATGGGACTCAGTTCTTTGTATAAGTCCTTTATCAATTTAAATATAAAATCTGTGATAACTTAATCTAAAAAATGATTCTTACAAACAATTTCAATTTATAGAGAATTTAAAAGAGCATTTATCAGATCTCTAGTTCAAGGTCAATCAGCCAAACTAATCATTTTGAAGAAGAATTGTGGATTCTACCAATTTTCATCCACATTTAGAGTCAATTGTCATATCTGTTAATAAGAATTTGAAAGATGTTCAGCTGAATATTTGATCTTAATGAATATATAAGTAGAGCTCAATCATGAGAGTTAGAAAAGTTATGGCCACCTGTACACTGAAAATTCTTCTGCTACTTAATGTTATTAGCCTTCCATCTAAGTCTTACTTACCAAAACCATGTGAGCTATCAGGTTGCCCCCAAGAGCTCCAAAAGTATAATATACAAGGGCCTGTGAAAGAACAAAAGAGGCTCATCTGAACATAGGCACAAATTGACCCAATTCAAATTTACTGTAGCACACAATAAAGTTTTACACATATTACCTTTGCCTGACTTGAATTAACACCAAGTCCAGATGCATAAAGAAAGCCAAGAGCCTGAAATATAATGATAAAAGTAAGAACACTTTCCTTGGCGGAAGTTTATCCAAGATAGACATAGTTTCATGAACTGTGAGAAGATGAAATCATCTTTAAATACTAAGATTTGAACTCAACATGTATGCACAACTGTGGAATTAAAGAACCTCAAAGTGCATTCAAGATTTTATTAACCAGAAAAACAAAGCTGAACATACTTAAACATGGATTTTACTTCATCTCGAGTGATACATGGCTATTATGAGGACAAAACAACTCCTATATCATCGTATCAATACATTATCTATCTAAACAAAGGGGGATATATAAAAATGAGTAAGAGATGACCACGATAAACTATTGTAGGAATAAAAAGAGGTGGCAAGGAAACTTATTAAGAGAAAAAGAGAATCAACACAAATCAACAGCATCAGAAATGAGAACGGAATAATCACGACAGACTCCACAGAAATACAAAGAATTATTAAAGACTACTATGAAAACCTATATGCCAACAAGCTGGAAAACCTAGAAGAAATGGACAACTTCCTAGAAAAATACAACCTCCCAAGACTGACCAAGGAAGAAACACAAAAGTTAAACAAACCAATTAC